AAAATTGACAAATAGAATGTAATCATTTTTGTTTCAACCACGTGAAATAGCCAATAGTAATCCAAAAAAAAAAAATAAACGGTAAAACTCGCTATTATTACAAAAATATCCACTATAACATGCAAAATTAGAAAAAAAAAACAGAATTGGGACAACAGAGATAATACAGGGATTCGAACCTAAACCGACAAATCCCTATCGTTTAACTCGTTGATTTTAAGCATGCTAACCTCGCGGCTACCAACTTATACTATACGACTGACCATTGTGTATATATAAAGGTACAACCCCTGTGTGTCCGCTGTTCACTTATATTTATAAAATAGACATCTAAGTTGTAACCCATTGGTAGCCGAGAAGTTTCGTCGATGTGTTGATGTCAGTCATTCATAACAGATTTCAAGGAAGGGTTCGATTCCCAGTGAAGGCATATACAAATTACAAAAATTAAAGGTAAGTTTTTAAATTAATTCCATTAGTGAACAGAAATCAGTAAATTGGCCAATTCAAACTTAATAAAATTAGAGACACAAAGGAAACAATTGAATATAATTTGATGAGTCCATTTCAGCAGCAGATTTAAGAAGCGTTGATTCTAGAAAAAGAATCCACGGTAAATGAATAGGTTAATTCCTGTTAATGTTTTATTAATATAGTTCTTAAAAGTCGTTTGATATATTTTTTTAAAAATAATGGTGTTTCAACTAATAATAAAACGTCTATTACCACAAGGAACACATTTTAGATAGTGTTTTGGGACTCATGTGCACATGACTTTTTCCGAAAAAGTCGGTATTATTGTCCATTTTACTCCTTGACATTAAAGACGTTAAACTAGTGTAACAGCATAATTATCATGGACGATCTTTTCTGTATTTGGCAAAATCTTTCAGAATTTTGGGTTCTCAATGCTCTCCAACTTCGTACTTTATTTGGCCTTATATTTTTTTTTTCTAACGTCACTGATGTAGACGAAACACGCGTCTGGCATTACAATTACACACCTGTTATCTTTGATGAATTTGTTTTTCTTTAATTTGGCGAAAATGGTGTCATTTTGAATACACAAAAATACATCGATTTTCAGCAGGTGAAACTTTAAAGTACATATAATTTTGTGATAGAAATTAAATAATTTTATAACAACTGTACTATTCAAAACATTCATTGTTTTAAATAGCTTCTTCTCAGAAAAGAGCATTTTTACTGTCGGAAATTTAAACTTTAATACAAACAATTGTCTATGAAATTTAGAGTTCCAGTCTGTGCTGCCTTTTTTTCCGTGGAGATGGAAAACTACAATATCATCCAGATAAATATACTAATTGTAGAATGGTCGGATTGAACACAAACTATGGTTAAGTAACGAAAATGTCTGCTTGCAATGTTATTTGAATTGCAATTGAAAAGTAGGCAATGTCATAACAGCGGTCACGTCGTAAATATATAAAATAATATTGCAAACATCTCTTATACGCTACCCTGGACAATAATGAATGTAGCGAAATTAGTCATTATCTACAAGATTTAATTGTTTGGAACTTTCCAGGTTTTACATGCAGGTGTACCATAAGTATAACCGTGTTACCGTCTGGACAGTAAACATTGAGTTTAATATCAGATTAAGTAAGAAAAAAGGCCGGGCCTATTTATTGAAGCAAACTTTAGAATAAGACATATCCTACATGTACGACCAGCTTAGCTGATGAATTTTTCTTAAGTGGGTTCAACCAACATTTCGCAACTTAGGAATTGTCCTTACTTTAGGACACAAATTTAGGTGTCATATGTTGGTCATATTTCATGCCTGTCATTAGGATATATTTTATATTGCATAAGTTGTATTCCAAACCCTGTTTTTAGCATTGTTGGTTGCAACATTTGAGAGTTTACTGGAAAAGAACAGACTTATGTTTTTCCACTTTCTCCAGGAGATTGTAGGTTGGCATTTTCAAAGCTCAAAGCTCTTTAAAGTTAGGATAGAACTTTAATCATATTCACTGATATATTTTTGACAGTAATGAAAAGTTCAACTTCTTCGTAGTTAGTCTTAATATATGAAAATTACACGAGATTAGCCTGCGAACTCTTTAATGAATGAAATGTGAGTCTTCGAATTCTAAAAATAGTAGGAAACGACCATTTAAATTCAATGGGGAGTTATGGTTTTTTTCTAAAAAAAAAAAGTTCTGATCCCCAATTTGATGAAAAAAAAAATGTTGCGATCAAGCAGATGACAAAAAAAATTATTCTGAATCCAGATTTTCCCCATACCTTATAGTGTTAAATTTTGAAAAAAATAATTTGATTGATAGCGTCGAAAAAATAGAATAAAATGTTTGCGCTTTGCGCGAAAAAAATTTTCTGAAGTTAAATGGTTGCTCCCTTACAAGAATTATACGCACTTCAATTTTTGTAGAAACAAAAAGATATATTTTTTTGTTTTGTGTTGTTTCATGAAAGTTAAACAGTTGTGTAGTCTACAAAATGTTAAACAGTTGAATTTTGTTGTAAAATTTATTGTCATTATGATCATGGCTTTTAAAACTACGGACAGTATTTTACAAAAATGATTAGCATTATCAATCTACATGTTGTATTGCAAACATAACTATTATATCATTTATAAAGCGATCAGCTGTAAAATTTACGATAATAAAGTATATATATAAATAAAGGCAACAGTAGTATACCGCTGTTCGAAACTAATAAATCGATAGAGATAAAAACAATTATATAACAGTATATAATAGGCAAGTCTAAAAGGGTACAACATCACTAAAAAATAGTAAAATCATGAACAAATATTAAATATTTCGGATAACTAATATCCTTCATCAGTAAGATTTCAAATGATTCTGATCTTTACATGTGGTAGTCGAACTGAAATAATAATCTTGAACGTTATACAAATTATCACGAATCAATACGCTGGTAAAGGTTTTTAATATTGATGTTTGGGAGAAGGAATAAATTCCTTAAAACTGTGAGAGTCCTGTACTGAAGCCTTAGTTAAAGGAAACAAGTGATGGTAGGGACTCATTTTATGTTTTTTAATTAATGCCCTCTGGGGAAACTGTCCTTTACTTTCTTTTAACTAAAACTTTCCGGAGCAAGTCTGTCGGCCCTTGATCAACCCGCGTTGTGGTCTATGATAGTGATGGTAAGGTTTTTGAGATCAGCTTGGGTGTGCTCAAATGGCGACTTAATGGTCTGGCTTGCAGGTAGAGTCACTTCGATGACCATTCATGCGTTTGTTGAATGGCTGTTCTGTCTCGCCAACATACTGCATGTTACATTGCAATATATAGTGTATACCGACCCAGTGGAGTGGCAAGTAAATGTTTGAGTATTCAGTATTTGTTGGCAAGTCAGACAAACTAGTTTAACCCCGCCACATTCTGTATGTGCCTGTCCTAAGTCAGGAGACTGTAATTCAGTAGTTGTCATTTGTTGCTTTGTTACATATTTGTTTTTCGTTCATTATTTTGTACATAGATTAGGCCGTTAGTTTTCTCGTTTGAATTGTCTTACATTTGTCATTTCGGGGCCTTTTATAGCTGACTATGCGGTGTGGGCTTTGCTCGTTGTTGAAGGCCGTACGGTGACCTATAGTTGTTAATTTCTGTGTCATTTGGTCTCTTGTGGAGAGTTGTCTCATTTGCAGTCATACCACATCTTTTTTTTTTATATCGTCTGTTACCACACGACTTGCACCATCCTGCAGTCGAAGAGCTAGCAGGATGGTGCAAGTCAAGTATTTTATAATTGGGTTTGGAGTGGGGGAGGAGGCGGGTATAATATCTTGTTCTGATTTTCAGTTTTAAAAACAGTCTAATTGCCATTTATTGAGTTTTATTTCACATTATAGATGAGCCGTAAGGCGTATCAAAACATCAACGCATCATAAAAGAATATCACACTTTAGTGTAGTCGGTAAAATAGGGTACAAGTCCTGCAAATCTTTGCAGAAATAGATACTCTCTCTTTGACGGTACACAGGCAAAAATTGCTCACGTGAATTTTACATGAATCTCATATGAAATTCACGTGAAATATTACACGTGAGATTCACCTCAAACGAGCTTATACATGAAACGCACGTGAAAATTTTCATGTGAATTGAGATTCACACGAATTTCACGTGAAATTTACAACAAAAAAATGGTATTTTTCATGATTTCAATTAAATTTGAAAATTTAGATGTTATTTGAAACACTTTTTTTTTTTAAATTCACGTGAATTGCACGTGAAAAAAATTCATGTTATTTTCACTTGAAATTCACGTGAGTTTCACATGAGATTCACTCGAAACTCATGAACTGATTTCACGTATAAGCTCGTTTGAGGTGATATTCACATGAATTTTAATTCACGTGAAATTGATGTGAGTGAAATTTGCTTGTGTATATAAGTCAGATAATGTATATTTTAAGGTTTTTCTTGTTGTATAACATACCTCGGGGTGTCAGGATTGCCCAAAGAAAGCTTTCATTTGATCAATCCTGACACCCCTCGACAAGAAAAACCTTAAAATAATTTTTTATGCATTTTTTGTATAACAGATATATTTTAAACTTTACTATTTGTTGCAACACTTAGGATGGCGGTTACGACAATCGGGTAAAATATCATTAGAGAGATTCGATGTGCATTCTCAGACACGCCGAAGGATATCCTAAGGTTATCCTTAGGACAGATTTTAGGACACCCTCGATGAAAAGGCCTTAGATTAAAGAAACAATTTTACTCGCATTTAAAATGTGAATCACACTTAAGAGGCATATAAACAAACCATTTTTGCTGATCGTGAGATGCGTCAGGATATGCGTATCTTGTCGGGGCACCTGGTATCATTCTGTTTTGAGGTTATTACATTTCATCTTTGTTTACCTTTATACTTCTGTTTTATGCATAGACTTTTCAGAAATTTGGACATCAGTATGATACTTGTATATGCAACATATATAGTGCTTAATAAATTTACCCTTTTTTATAGATGCAAATTGTATATTGCCACCAGAACTTAAGAATATGGAGTGGATCTATAATTATACCAGGCCAGATGATAATCAACCGGTAACAACTACACTACGGTTTCAAAATACAATTCTAACATCACCGTCATCCATAAACTTTAACGCCTTTGGAACGACCATAGACGCATGGACTTGCATATCTAACTTAACATTATCAAATACAGAATCCGTTGTTCTTTTTAAGTTAGTATATATAATATATCTCGTTATAGCAAAACTTTTTTCCAAGGTTTCTTTTCTTTAAATTGGATACCCCAAAGACATGCTAGTCGAACTTTTCCCGATTTAAAATTGGATAATGTTTCAAATCTTTTCGAAATCGAAATATCAAACTAAAGAATGTGTAAAATGCAGAATACGTAGAAACATTATATTATATACATTGTACTATACTTTTTTTGTATACATTTGTACATCCTATTGCACATAAAAATGTCATTCTGGATACTTTTTTAACTTTTTACTTGAGTTCTTAACTGCGCGTGAAACTTTTTTATTATATACATGTATTTTCACTCGTACGAGATATTACTGAATGTAATTACATCCAGTAAAAGTAAAATGGAATCCATTAAGTTCAACCCTTACTTCTGTTTCTACACAGAAGAGCTAAAGGTCGCCATACTAATATGTCATAGGTAGCAAAGGTAACGTTCGTGATTAAAAAATAGGCAGTTTACAAAATTGAAATAAGATAATCATATTAAGTCCATGAAATATGTTCGGGCCGACGTCAGGTCATTTATATTAAGAGATTTCCTTTTGTTAATTTTTCTTTTCTGTTTTAGGAGCGATAGTAGCTATACAAGTGGACCTTTTAGTGGTAATAGACGGTTATATCTTTGTATGAAATTCACAAAGGTCACAGACAACTTGTTTTACTTCTACTTATTATCGGGTATTATTTTTGTTTTTACATGTTTTTTCATTAATTAATACTATAGTAGTTGTATTAGGCCAAGAAAATCCAAAGCACGTTTCCAGAAATTTCATTCGTCTTCGTGTAGGCTTATCTACGTTGCCTAAGTCTTGTGTCTGTGAATTCCTTGTCTTCTTTTTCTTCTAGATGCTGGCTTTGTTTCTATTTTGAGGCGAATTGGACAAAAACAAGGAAAATCTTTAAAAAAAAAACTAGTAATATTTATATTAAAAAGTTATTTCTCTTTCACTAGATCGTCGTTGTCAAAAAGTAATATAAAATCAAATGTCAGATACCTGTGAGTGAGACAAATTACTCAACACATATGCTGGACAAATGTTATGAAAGTTCTCTTTGTCAGGGAAAACTAATGTTTGTGGATGTGAATCTGCTCATCAAGTAAGTGTTCGAATCTGTTCGAAAATTCCGATAGACGAACAAAGTCCTTAATGTTGCAAGTCCAACTGCTGAATAATACTATGTGTTTCAAAGTAATATTATGTGTTTCTGAGTAATACTATGTGTTTCCTGCTGAATAATACTATGTGTTTCTGGGTAATACTACCGGTATGTGTTTCTGAGTACTACTATGTGTTTCTGAGTAAAAATTAGTGTTTCGGAGTAACACTGTGTCTTTCTGAATAATAATACGTGTTTCAATCACGTTAATCATGATAACAAAACTGCTAAAATGTTCCTGTTACATATATGTCTCTTAAATATCTTTTTTAGATTATTGGCTATAATTCTCTTTGTCAGCACCACATACACTTCTGATATACAACAATTGCTTAAATTTCATGATTTTTATATTTTATTAGCATAACAACAATAAACTACATGTTTCCACGACGAATTTATTATTCTTTGTCAATTGCGAAAAAGGGTAAATGTATATATCATTAATATAATTATAGTAAATATCAATTTCAAAATTAGTTTTGTCTTTCAATTTGGACTATTCAGATGTGGATAATACTATAGTTCCAAATGATAGGGTATTCAATCCACCTGCCAACAGTATACCAGCTGATACAGACCCATTGTGTAGTACGTTTTGTCAATATTCAACAGAACCAAAAATACGCACACTACAAAAGACAGGTAATATGTTACAAGAAATTGTATTTTGTTCCACAATCACATGTACAGTTCACTTAAATAAATTAAGACATAGTAACACGAGGAAAAGCCAAGAAACGAGTGAAAATGTCATAAACACCGATTTAAACAACACTAGACACAGAAACCTTTAAACTGTGACTTGTACAGAAGTAGAATCATTTTGAGGACATTTGTGTTGAAAGACCAAATAACTAAATAGAGATAGAGAGATAGAGTGTGCTTGTATATATACAAATACATCTATATACAAATACATCTGCAGCCGTGTAGATAAAGTAAGACAACACGCCTTTTTCCCTTTCTTAAAATATTCTTAGTATCGTTAGAAATGCCTCAATGTTGCTGTGTTATATATAATTCGAAATTCGAATATTGGTATTCCTTAATGAGCGGTCCGTCCGTCAGCTTTCACCTTCAGGTGTCTTAACTAACGCCATCGTTTCTGGTCAGATTCTGTTCAAAATATAATTTTCAGATGTTCATTTTTTTTCACTTAAAGAATCAGCTGTTTACAATTGGTATTTAAAATGTTTTCATTTGAAGAAAAAAAAATCGTAGACAAATGAACGAGCTCGTATCTGAATGAATGAATGAATGCATTTAGGTATATTTGATGAGTTATTTTTCGTAGTGTTTTGGCTTCGTTTCGAAATTTTGTCTTAATTATGTTTTATAACAAATATCAGTTTCTAGTCATCTGCAAACTTCTAATTGTTTAGTTTGTGCTGTTTTATTAAGAACTATGATATAATGTTGCCAGACATGAAACTATGCAAAGATACAAGAACCCTTTTTACCTTAGCTGTATTTGGCAAAACTTTTTGGTATTTTTGGTCCTCAATTCTCTTCAACTTCGTACTTTATTTGGCCTTTTTAACCTTTTTTGATTCGAGCGTCACTGATGAGTCTTTTGTAGACGAAACGCGCGTCTGACGCAAAAACAAAATTTAAATCCTGGTATCTATGAAGAGTTTATTTAGATAGGATCTTGATAGTGATATACGGCGGAAAGGGAAAACATCTTTGAATGTAGATGTATTTCAAAACATTTTACGAATTGAAAAGTGGGAAACGTTGTTTTTTCTTGTGACATGAGACTTTTATTTTCCCTTTTAGTAAAAGTGGTGGTGTGCGTTTGAGCTTGTTCACTGGAGTATTATTGTGCGTAACGTTCATCGAAGTTATTTAAAAAAAAATAGTTAGACATTCAACGTAAAGTTAACTTATTGCCAGAAACACTAAAAGTAAATAACGAAGACGTGAGAACACATTGTATATTGATTGCAGTTATGGTCTAGTTATTTGCAGACAGATGTTCTTTTTCATGCTGGTTACGCCGCCTTTTACTGATAATAACTATGAAATTAATAAAGACATTGAATATAGGTTAAAGAGACAGACATTATTTAAATATCAACATTAAGGTATAAGTACACAGATACAGGCAACTGAAATCTTGCATTACGATATATTCTTACGTGATATATTTTATCTTTACCAGGTACTATCGATGTTGTGCCAATTGACGCAGCTTTGTGTACGCCTTGTGAAAGTCCATGTGAAGAACGTAGGTTAAATCTAATTAATTCATTAGACTTAACAATAAGTTTCAGCTCCTGAATTTCCTGCGATGGTAAACATCTAACACCTAATGCGATAAACTAGGACAATAATTAACCTTGATAATTAACATAATACTAAATGTAATGCTCCCATCCTGATAGAGACAAAATAGGAAACAAATGACATTACTCTCCATATCCACATATACGCATGCCTTGTTAGAATATAGTTTAGTTAAAAGTTAACCCAATCTGCTATTTTTAATCATTATATGTTTGTTATTAAATGTTGGATGTTTTTATTATTAACAACTGTTTAAGGGAATCTAGTTACTTGTTATCAAATGCATTGAACACTACGCGGTGATTTCACTTGACCTATATACTTAGTTCTTCTGAAACGTTATTGTTCACTAATTGTTTTTATGAAATATTTGACATTTAACTTAGACAAATACGTCTGAAAAAAACGGAAATGTATGGAGTTATGGTAAGTATGATATTTTATGTGTATGCTCAATCTATGATAGTAGAGGTATATTGTATTTTGGTCTGTGCGTCCGTCCCTTCGGTATCAGATTTAAAAGTTTGAAAATATATACCAAATTAGGGTTTGGAACCCGATATAGTGATTTACTGAAAATGTAAATGTGATACTGTAAGAGGGGAACGGCGTGGTATTGACACATATTCTTGTTTCAGTTTTAAATACTATTATACATATTATGTGTATCTTCAATTCCTCTTTTCTACCCACTAACAAATAAGCAGGTAGCGTTTGTTTGCAAATTATGTATACTTTATATTCAAATTACATGTATAATGAACATTTATTGTCCTTCCTCTTGTCAATGCTTATATTTTGGCCTTCAAATAAGTAAGTACGTACGGTATTTAATATAGTGGCATGTGTAAATAACAATTGTTATAAAAATAGGTTACAAAAACATTAACATACACCAGACGCCTTGGATCTATAAGTTACTTTCAAAATCACCAACAGTCTTTTCTTTTCACAAGTAAGAAAGCTTGAACTACAGTTAAAATTTGTATTGCTAAATGATAAAGAAAAATAGAAAAGAAACAAAATGGAATTAAGAATTAAATTTATGTCTTATTGCATACATATATTTGATGATGAGGCAACTTGGATAGTTATGTGTAATTATATATTATAGTTTACTCATTCTTTCTTCCATAAGAACCATTCACACAGAAGGTATAGTGTCCGTCTGGTATCGTGTTTTGTCGAGTGATTTGATCGGCTTTTTTTCGAATGTGACCTCGTTTTTTCAAGTGAATATGATCAAAAATATAGACAAAAGGACTTCATTTCTGGTAAGACGTTAAGAAGATGCTAGCAAAAAATACATGTATTCAAGATAATACAAGGTAAATTCTTATTTGTGATAAAAAGATAAACCCTGCATTATTTTGTTTTAAAAACGTTTGATTTAAGCTCACAATGCTTTTTTTCCAAAATATAGATTAAAGCAATTTTTATATACATACCAATGCAAATGTCAAAAAGAAATGCATATATAGAATCTGTATATACTAAGATATACAGACACTTTATAAATTCTTGTTGTTGCATTGATACGGCCATGTTTGAAAGTAAATTAATTTTTATATATCCGTTTTTTGTCGAGAGCAGCCCGTACTTTTTCGAATGCATCCAGGTTTAATCGAGTGAAAAATCAAAATTCCTATGGTTTAAAATGTAATATGTCAGTGCATTTACGTTAAAAACAATTTAAGGGTTCAAATAAAGTACTTCTCAAAGCACAAAACCAATACATGTAACCAGTCTGATAATGTTGTATTATTACGCAAAATTTCATAAAACGGCATCGGCCATTTGTATATATTGCTGCTTGCAAAGTCTTATAAGTAACATGGACACCAGCATCCATACATTTGGATAGATCAGACATGTCTGCGCCGAGGTATAACTGTTTACACCATGCATGCACGTCCATTGTATTCAACCTACACAGGTTTACGTATGTTTGGATCGATCCAACATGTCCACAACCATGTTACATGTCAACGCCCTGGTAAGCATGTTGAATCGATTCACACATACTTATACCAATGTCGATTCCATACAGTAAATTTATGTGATATGAACAATCTGCATGTTAGTGTACCGATATGGATTTCATAAGGTAAATACGTCATGATGTAAATAATCTTTATGTTAGCACAGACATGTTAGATTCAGACGTACGTTCACATAGTGTGTAAGGCTGGTAAATGTTTGTTTTAACAGAAAATACACGATAAATGTTTCATTCACTATTTGACACTAGATGTGGATACTAAAAATTCTAAAGACCTTTTAGAGTTCATACAATTTAAGACTCTTTCACCTTACAATAGTATTAAAACATATCACTTTTCTACACTTAACACAAGTATTCCTACTTCTAAACTTAAAGACAAATTGAAAGAGTTGGTCCTGCTTTGTTTCATAAAAAGAATGACAAACGTATATATAAGTATCTTATCTTAGGGAGGGATAAATCGTACTTTTTAAAAAAAATCACTCTGATTCAAGCCAAAAATTCCCTTAAAACATACATTATCAAAATGCTTCACTTCTTGATTGACAACATATGTGTTACGTTTGGAGGACGTGTTTTTCAACAAACAATTGGCATCCCCATTGGAACCAACTGTGCTCCTCTTCTTGTTTACTTGTTCCTTTATTCATATGAGGATGATTTCATACAGGACCTTCCTAGGAAGAAAGAAAAAAAAGTTGGCAGGATCCTTTAACTTCACTTTCCGTTATGTAGATGATGTTATTTCACTAAATAATTCAAAATTTGTTTACTATGTTGAACGCATCTATTCCATCAAACTTGAGATAAAGGATACAACAGAAACAGTAAAATCGGCCTCATATCTTGACTTACATCTAGAAATTGACACGATGTAAATAATCTTTATGTGAGTACAGACATGTTAGATTCAGACGTACGTTCACATAGTGTGTAAGGCTGGTAAATGTTTTTTTTAACAGAAAATACACGATAAATGTTTCATTCACTATTTGACACTAGATGTGGATACTAAAAACTCCAAAGACCTTTTAGAGTACATACAATTTAAGACTCTTTCACCTTGCAATAGTATTAAAACCTTTAACTTTTCTTCACTTAACACAAGTATTTCTACTTCTAAACTTAAAGACAAATTGAAAGAGTTGGTCCTGCTTTGTTTCATAAAAAGAATGACAAACGTATATATAAGTATCTTATCTTAGGGAGGGATAAATCGTAGTTTTTAAAAAAATCACTCTGATTCAAGCCAAAAATTCCCTTAAAACATACATTATCAAAATGCTTCACTTCTTGATTGACATCATATGTGTTACGTTTGGAGGACGTGTTTTTCAACAAACAATTGGCATTCCCATTGGAACCAACTGTGCTCCTCTTCTTGTTTACTTGTTCTTTTATTCATATGAGGATGATTTCATACAGGACCTTCCTAGGAAGAAAGAAAAAAAAGTTAGCAGGATCCTTTAACTTCACTTTCCGTTATGTAGATGATGTTATTTCACTAAATAATTCAAAATTTGGTGACTATGTTGAACGCATCTATCCCATCAAACTTGAGATAAAGGATACAACAGAAACAGTTAAGTCGGCCTCATATCTTGACTTACATCAAGAAATTGACACGATGTAAATAATCTTTATGTGAGCACAGACATGTTAGATTCAGACGTACGTTCACATAGTGTGTAAGGCTGGTAAATGTTTGTTTTAACAGAAAATACACGATAAATGTTTCATTCACTATTTGACACTAGATGTGGATACTAAAAATACCAAAGATCTTTTAGAGTACATACAATTTAAGACTCTTTCACCTTACAATAGTATTAAAACATTTCACTTTTCTACACTTAACACAAGTATTCCTACTTCTAAACTTAAAGACAAATTGAAAGAGTTGGTCCTGCTTTGTTTCATAAAAAGAATGACAAACGTATATATAAGTATCTTATCTTAAGGAGGGATAAATCGTTCTTTTTAAATAATCACTCTGATTCAAGCCAAAAGTTCTCTAAAAACAGACATTATCAAGATGCTTCATTTCTTTATTGACAACATATGTATTACGTTTGGAGGACTAGTTTTTCATCAAACAATTGGCATTCCCATTGGAACCAACTGTGCTCCTCTTCTTGTTTACTTGTTCCTTTATTCATATGAGGATGATTTCATACAGGACCTTCCTAGGAAGAAAGAAAAAAAAAGTTAGCAGGATCCTTTAACTTCACTTTCCGTTATGTAGATGATGTTATTTGACTAAATAATTCAAAATTTGGTGACTATGTTGAACGCATCTATCCCACCAAACTTGAGATAAAGGATACAACAGAAACAGTTAAGTCGACCTCATATCTTGACTTTTATCTAGAAATTGACAATGAGTTTCGGTTGAAAACAAAACTTAACGAAAAAAGGGATGAGTTCAGCTTCCCAATTGTGAAATTTTCATTTTTATGTAGCTTCCCAATTGTGAAATTTTCATTTTTGTGTAGCAACATTCCAGCAGCGCTTGCATACAAAGTATATATATCCAAGTTGAAACGATATTCCAGGGCTTGTATTTCCGATCATGATTTCCTTGATAGAGGGTTGCTGCTTATAAGAAAGTTATTAAACCAAGAGTTCAACGAGTTGGTTGACCTTTATCAAATATCAGTTTCACAGATGAGGACAGATATGTTCAAATTGTCGTTACTTCAATCCCGTCCCCTTTTTTCTGAATACAAATATTATCACTTAGGCCATTTTCCGAACGGCAATAAAACCCTTGCTAAATCGGGCGTCTTTTTGGCTGTGCGGGATGTACAAGTATGCAGCAACTTCCGGTCAGAATGGGACCTGTAGATAGGGTGCCAAGCTCTCTGCACGTCGAGAACCCTTGCAACAACTCTTTGGGGGGACCTGTTGCAAGGCAAAATGTCTGTCCCTATCCAATGTATCGTCATTTTCAGTAGCAGTCTTAATATCCATACTTTCTTCCTGAATGACCTCTATTAATGAACCTTCCTATTGTATTTATTGGAAATTTATCCTCGTCCTTAACATGAATGAAGGTTTTTCCGCTGAACGTTAAGCAACCAACCATCAATCATCTAAAATTGTCTGTTTATAAATTTCAAAATCATAAAGAAACTAAAGTTTCAACTCCCTCAGGCAAAGTTGAACTTAGATGGATTTTGCTATTTTTTAGGTCTCTTTTGGTCAAACAGCTCTTCAAATGTTTGGTTCTTATACATCCTTGGCTTTCAAATTGTTGGATTTTGAGCGTTTAAGATGAAGGCAATACCAGAAGAGCGCTTCGGATGCATGAAATTTAAAAAGTGTTGTTTTCAATTTTTTATTCGATATTCCATTCAATTGAAATGTAATGGTCAATGGTAAATAGTACATGAATGGATTAATCTGTATTTTTAAAACTCAGGGTTCGCCACTGTAATATATCTCAATCATAAAATAGTATTGACTGTAAAAAATGGTATAAGAAAGGACCCAGTGATTTTTGATATATCGTTTTAATGCAAGGTTATTGTAAAATGTTTTTAGTACAGAAAAATAGCATTGAATTGAAAATGGTTAAATTTGATCAAATTTGTAATATGTTTTTGTGACTTATTGGTAATATATAATATTATTATTTACTTAATTACAGTAATAAACTAGAGAAAAATAGTTATAGATGCCAATAATTCCTTCTTTCTTATTCACATGTTCTTAAAAAAAAGATATTTTGTTTTCCAAAAAAACCCTGACAATGTAAAAAGCTGAATTTTCTATGAAATTCAAGAATATTCTGCGTAATTTGTGCTCAAAATATGTATAGTATGAAGAATAAGATGAAAAGTCATGAATAAAACTATTATACTTGCGAAATAGCAGTAAATCAATCTATTCGCATGTAATATCACCCGAAAAAACCTGATCTCACTAAAAAAAAGTGGACCGATTCAATCGAAACAAAAACAAAACACAATTTCAGCCGGACACCAAACCTACCGTGCTTTACGTTTCTTTAAATGTGCAAATGCTGTTATTCGAACGTACTCAAGGGGAAATAAACAAGTCTCCCAAATTTTCTCAGAAATGAAATTAGAAGGAAGCTAGAGATATTAAACTGGAATTTTCTTATTCAGCATAATTTACAAAAAGAGAGTTTGAAATGATGCTTTATATTAATTTGATGTTATCTCAATTTTATACGTTTATAAAATCTAGAGATAAAATCTGTCAAAACCCCTTTATTTTGATATTTCTGCACTTGTCGAACAAACAATAAGGTTTTAATCTGTAGAATTTCGGTTTAAATAAAAATACATGATTTCTTTCATTTTCATCACCTTAAAATTATTTGAAATTAACGAAAAATCCAGTTTATGGTTTTAATCGTCTTAGATTGCTGATTTAAAACGTCTTTGACAAAATTCATAGGATGCAATAAGCGGTTCCATTTTGTTTACTCGGATAGTTACGTACGTATGTCATTTTATTGGAAATCTCCGATATGAATTCTTAAATATTGGCCACTAAGACTCCGTCATCTCCAACATCATAGTAGTTTGTAAAACATGTGTATTGGGGGAGTGAAAACAAAATCAAACTCATCACACTTTCACTTGAAAATAAAAACAATCAAATGGTTTATATCCACAGATCCGTAATTAATAGCAATATAAATAATTCTGTGTAAGGAAGCAATTATTCTCCTGAGACTATTATCTAGAAATTTTGGATTTTCGGATTTTGTCAACTAGTTATACCGAAGTGTTTATGTATGTTTTTACAAAGATCAATAATTCATAAATATTTACAATTCGCTACTCGAAATATCTAATTAAAAAACAAAAACAACTTTTATTGGTTTTATACCTTTGCAGAGGTAGTAACTTGTCCGGACCTTGCAGCAGTAAATTTTACTACTATAACAAACCAGACTGGTACAAACGACCAAGACACAATAACTTACGCTTGTATCACTGGTTATGAATTGACATCTGGTAGCCTGACTCGTCAATGTATGAACGATCAAACCTGGAGTGAAAGTGTTCCAGTCTGCGGTACGAACACTTTGTAGATTTTTTCTCATAAGGATTGTACTAGATATTCTTTTACTCAAGTCTAAAGCATCAATCATGGAAAAAATGTGCATGCATATTTTCTATAGTATGAAGAAGTGGTGTTCATATAATATAAATTCATGTTTATTTCAATTGAAAATAAAAAAGATCAATTGGTTTATATCCAAACATCCATAACGAATATCAAGAATATTTCTGTGCAAGGAAACTTGTGTCAAAACAAAATATATACCGGAATTTTGTACCGTCTCGAGTGCTTTTATTTTCTATTATTCTTCCTTAATTTATAATGCGTATGTGAGTTTTTCAAATATCAATCATTCATCATTATCTAAAATACATTCTCGAAATATCTCATTCATAAATCAAACATCACAAACATTTTGAGTTTTAAACTTTTGCAGAGGTAGTAGCTTGTCCAGACCTTGCAGTAGTAAATTTCACTTCAATAACTACTCAGACTGGTACAAACTACCAAGACACAATAACTTACGCTTGTATCAATGGCTATGAATTGACATCTGGTAGCCAAACGCGTCAATGTATGGCTGATCAAACCTGGAGTGGAAGTGTTCCAGTCTGCGGTAAGAAAACTTTGTACAAAAATTACTATTAGGGTCATATTCAATATTTTATTCCTTATGGCTTAAGCATAAATTGTTCAAAATGTATTTGGAGGTCTTCTATATTATGAAGTAGTTTCCAAATATAATCAAATTCATTTTTCTCTCTATTGAAAATAAAAAAAAAACTATCAATAGGTTTATATAAAAGATTACTAACCAATATCATGAATAATTCTGTGCAAGTCAACAATAACCTTCCAGGATCTCACCTCTTGCAGTGTGGGATTTGTTGGATTTATCAACTTTTTGTCAATAAATATGTACCGGAATTTTGTACTGTTTTGGGTGTTGTTTTAGTTTCTATCATTCTTTTTTATTTGAAGTGTTTGTGTGAGTTTTATCAAAAATCAATCGTTCATAATTTTTTTTAAAATATCGAACTAATGAACAAAAACCAAATGTGGAAAAATATAAGCAATGAACAAAAACAACTGATATTGTATTTATACCATTGCAGAGGTAGTAAATGTCCAAACCTTGCATTAGTAAATTTCGCTACAATAACTACCCAGACTGGTACAAACTACCAAGACACAATAACGTACGTTTGTATCACTGGCTATGAATTGACGTCTGGTAGTCTAACTCGTCAATGTATGGCTGATCAAACTTGGAGTGGAAGTGTTCCAGTCTGCGGTAAAAACAGTTCTAGAAAAGTTCATTATTATGATCAAGTTAGAAATTTTATCCTTTAAGGCTTCAGTTATGGAAAATGTGTGTATGCATATTTAATATAGTATGAAGTGGTTTCCAAATATAATCGAAAATTCATGTTTATATCAATTAAAAATAAAAACTGATAATTGGCTTATATCCAAAAAACCGTAATCAATACCATTATGAATAATTATGTGCAAGTTAACACTAATTTTTTCAGGGGACCATCTTCAAGCAATTTGTAATTTGTGGGTTTTGCCAACTTTTATGATCAAATTAGATATGTTATCCCTAAAGGCTTAAATTTAGGAAATATGTTTATACAGATTTTCTATAATGTGAAATGATTTTGATATATAATCAAATTCATGTTTATTTCAACTGAAATGAAAAACTATCAATTAATTTATATCCAAACACCCTTAATCACTATCATAAATAATAAAGTGCAAGGAATCAATGATTTTTCCACCGATCATTCTCTAGCAATTTGAAATTTGTGGGTTTTGTTAATTTTTTGTCAAAAAAAAAGAACAAAATATGTACCGGAATTGTTTACTGTCTTGAGTGTTCTTTACATTCTATTATTCATACTTTTTTGAAGTGCTTATGTGAGTTTGTTCAAGTGCCAAGCATTCATAATTTTTTTACCGAATTAACTCACTAATAAATCAAACAACTTAAACACTTTTGAAGTTTTATACTCTTGCAGAGATTGTAGCTTGTCGAGGCCTTGCAGCAGTAAATTTCGCTATTAACTGCTCAGACTGGTACAAACTACCAACACACAATAACTTACACTTGTATCACTGGCTATGAATTGACGTCTCGTAGCCTGACTCGTCGATCTATGGCTGATGGAACCTGAAATGGAAGTCTTACAGTCAGCGTTAAAAAAAAAATACAAAAGTTTTATTATTATGATCAAATCCAATATTTCATTCTTTAAGCATGTTAAGGCTAAAGTTATGATACATATGTGTATGCAACTTTTTTATAGCATGGGGTGGTTTCCAAATATAATCAAATTCATATTTCTTTTAATTCAAAATATAAACTATTAATTTGTTTATATTCAAAAATCCGTATTCCAAGTCATTATGAATAATTTTGTGTAAGGTAACAATGATTTCCCAGGGACCATCCTCTAGCAATTTGTAATTTGTGGGTTTTGTCAACTTTTATGATCAAATTAGATATTTTATCCCTTAAGGCTTAAATTAAGAAAAATATATGTATACAGATTTTCCATTGTGTCAAGTGGTTTCGAAAAAACATTTGTATAATCAAATTCATGTTTATTATAATCGAATATACAAACTATCAATTTGTTTATATCCAAACATCCATAACCAATATCGTGAATAATTCTGTGCAAGGAAATAATGATTTTTCCAGCGATCATCCTCTAGCAATTGTGATTTGTGGGTTTTGTAAACTTTTTGTGAAAAAAAATCCAAAGTATGTACCGGAATTTTGTACTGTCTTGAGTGTACTATATTTTTTATTATTCATACAATATTTCAAGTGCGTATGTGAGTTTTTTCAAAGGCTAATCATTTATAATTAACTTTTTCGAAATATCTCACTAATAAATCAAACAACTTAACTTTTTAAAGTTTTATACTTTTGCAGAGATAGTAGCTTGTCCAGGCCTTGCAGCAGTAAATTTCGCTAAAATAACTGCCCAGACTGGTACAAACTACAAAGACACAATAACGTATGCTTGTTTCACTGGCTATGAACCACAATATGGTACTTTTCTTACTCGAACGTGTAAAGCTGATGGAACCTGGAATAACCATCCTCCATCTTGTAAGAAGAGTAAGTATCTTTACAAAAGTAATAGTTATTATTAGAATCGGGTAATACTAGTATTTTATTACACTAAAAAAAGGATTGATCCAAATTTATAAGGTTGAGATAAATTTGGAAATATGTGATGGATTTCTATGGTTTAAAAACACTTTAAAACTACTTTAAAACTCTACTTACTTTAAGTTTTAAATGAATAGATACCAAGCAGCATTGTTCAAAAAAAAAAAGGTTCTGCATGAATAGAGGTGATTGATGATGGAGTGTATTTTATTTTTTGAACCTGTAAACTGTCTTTCATATATATATATAGTTATATACAATGCTTTTCATATTTATTTTCGTATTTGATTTTCTATCACATTAGTAGATATTGTTTGTGTACATCTTGGATAACCATTTTAGTTTTATCAGCTCTTCAATGGTTGTATTATGTTTTGTTTTTTTGTTGTTGTCTCGGACATCATTGAAGTGACATTAATTGTCGAAATACGAATCTAGTGCAGGAACAATTCCAAACGTAGACGTTATAGGGTAGTATCAATTATCTTGAAACCATTCCTTGGACGTGTATCAACTGATTAGGAGAACTTTGAGAGTTCTATGGATTTCACGATTAGGCTGGTTAAAACAGTGTAATGGGCGAAAATAAATGATTGATTGATTGATTGATTGTTGATAAACATCCAATGGCAAATGTTGGATTCATGCTCAGGACGAGAACAAATGCACAAAAAATACAATAGTTATGTCCTGTAATAGACGCCGTCCGAGATGAAGATGAACATGGCTGTGTACTTGTACATCCCGCACAGCCAAACAGAAGCCATTCTTTGGCAAGTGTATAACGTGCGATCGGTTGAAGATCGGAGTGACTCTATTTCTATTCCCAGTCACACATGGGGTGATTTTGGAAATGAATAGTCAGGACTGGTACATGTACTAGCTGATAAAACGAAATGATAAAAATGAATATTTTGTCCTACAAAATGCAGGAATTTGCAAGAAAATCTGTGTAAAAAAGTGAAAATAATTTTCGCGCTAAATAAATGAGCCGTACTATATATCAATCGATGGTAAATTAATATCTATCAGCAAAAAATCCCCTTCCACTGAAAAACAAATGGTGTAATAGGGCTATTGAATTTAATCATATTTTTAACGGAGCAATTTTTTTAGTTTTTGTCATATAAATAGGAAAATAACTTCATGCATAGTGTTATCATAATGATATTTATTCAATATATGTAATTTCCATAAATATTCACAACAATCCACGTTCTTAATATATTGTTTTAGGAACAATTAACCTACACAAGGCCTTCATTGACTATCGACTGTATGTAGTCAAAATGTGTTTTAAACTACATGTAACCATTGTAGAGTACACTTACACTACAACGAGTTTAGCTCAATGTGAACACGGCCTAAGTGTTTGTCTGTTATCTTGATTTGTTTCTTTTTAACCGTTTTACGAGATTAGAACATCGGTCAATTACTGTTGCATTAATTTACGCTAACTGTAGCAAAAAGCTGGTGGTTTGGATTAGATCATGAAAGGCTATTCCTACCCTATTTAGGGACCAGAGTTTATATATTTCACCTCATGAACTGTTACATACATATTCGGTATTACTTAAGTATTTTTTTGTTTCCCTCCTTTAACAGCGCATGGTCGTGGTTATGGTTGTCACTGTTGTCGAAGTCATACAAGTCATCGAAGTCGTTGGAGTCCAAAAAAATGAAGATAATTTCTCTTGAATTCTGCGAGACTATGGAATAATATGTATATAGTAGTTGTGTATCTGTTGAAGATAAAAAATAATTTATGAATGTTAGCAATACATATACAAAATTTAAGTCATATATTTTTCTTATAGAGTTTCTTTTAATTGTAATGTTATCAAAATCATTGAAACAATGCATGCATATATACTAAAACTAAGTCATGTATGCACGATTTTGTCGAGCCTGCGACTTTTGTCGCAGAAAGCTCAACATAGGGTTAGTGATCTGGCGGCGGTGGCGGCGGCGGCGTTAGCTAACTTCTTAAAAGCTTTATATTTTAGAAGGTGGAAGATCTGGATGCTTCATTTTTTGTATATCGATGCCTCATGTTGCGAAGTTTCCGTCAGTCACATGTCCAATGTCCTTGACCTCATTTTCATGGTTCAGTGACTACTTGAAAAAAAGTTAAGATTTTTTGTAGTGTTAAATTCTCTCTTATTATAAGTAATAGGATAACTGTATTTGGTATGTGCGTACCTTGCAATGTCTTCATGCCCGTCAGATAGTTTTCACTTGACCTCGACTTCATTTCACGGATCAGTGAACAAGGTTAAGTTTTGGTGGTCAAGTCCATATCTCAGATACTATAAGCAATAGGTCTAGTATATTCGGTGTATGGAAGGACTGTAAGTGTACATGTCCAACTGGCAGGTGTCATCTGACCTTGACCTCATTTTCATGGTTCAGTGGTTATAGTTAAGTTTTGTGTTTTGGTCTGTTTTTCTTATACTGTATGCAATAGGTCTACTATATTTGGTGTATGGAATGATTGTAAGGTGTACATGTCTAGCTGGTAGGTGTCATCTGACCTTGACCTCATTTTCATGGTTCAGTTGTCAAAGTTAAGTTTTTGAGTTTTGGTCTTTTTTTCTAATACTATATGCAATAGTTCAACTATATTTGGTGTATGGAAATATTTTATGATCTATTTGGCAGTCTCGCAGGTTTTATTTGACCTTGACCTCAATTTCAAGATTCATTGCTCAGTGTTAAGTTTTTGTGTTTTGGTCTGTTTTTCTTAAACTATAAGCAATTGGTCAACTATATTTGTTGTATAGAAGAATTGTTAGCTGTACATGCCTGCCTAGCATGGTTCATCTGACCTTGACCTCATTTTCATGGTTTATTGGTCAATGTTTAGTTTACTTGGTTAATGTTAAGTTTATGTGACAGTTGTAATAAAGCTTTATATTTAGGACTATCAACATAATATCAATGATTAGTAAAAAAGGCGAGACATTTCAGCGTGTGCACTCTTGTTTATAATTATTATGAGTCTATTACGTATCATCGACAAACAAATATTTCATTCAGTGATAATTGATCTCTAGCCAATTAGCTTTCGAGTTTGTTGCCGAAGTTTTCCGGATCGTAGCATTGATAATCAATCAACACAGAGCACGTGGAAAACGTGACAAAAATGGGTTGAAACAGACATGGTATTCTTTTTTTTTTTATATTTTCCATGCGTTCCCATATGTCAATTTTTTCCTAAACAGTTGTTAAATAATTTGTTGTATTAAATTTCTTCTTTAAGAATCAGTTTTTACTATTTACCTTTTGTTTACATTCTTTAATCGCGGTTTCCCACACCCACTTGAGCTGTGCGATGGCTGAAGTTCTAACGAGAGGTCTCGTAGTTAAGGTTACTGCATACGGGAAAATATCGGCGAGTGAATGTACGGAAAGACAATTATTAAACAGCAGTATATTTATGAAGATTTTGATAATAAAAAGAAATTTCTTTTACAAGAAAGGTCACGTACACTTGTTATGGTAAAACTTAACCATTCAAGTATATAAAACCTATTCAAATCTTTTTTCATTTGAAGTATCATATGACTTTAAAGATACGAACATTGTTATTCCACATAAATCTATGAGTTTGACTGTCCCTCTGGTATTTTTCGTCCCTCTTCTTTAATATTACATGATATTATTTAGTCATTTAATAATCATTGAAACAACATTTAACAACTTCACTATGAATAACTTCGCATAAGCATTATATCAATAGTTTCAGGACAAATGGTACAAACAAATATTCGAAGACTATGAATCTTTCAGCGACGGATCAAGTTGTACTAGTTTGTACTAACATGAGCAACATAACGGGTGCCACATATGGAGTAGGATCTGCTTACCCTTCCAGAGCACCTGTGATCACCCCCAGTTTTTGGTAGGGTTCGTGTTGCTCAGTCTTTAGTTTTCTATGTTGTGTTTTGTGTATTCTGTTATTATGTTGGTCTTTTCTTCTTTTTGAGCCATGGCGTTTTCGTTTTATTTTCGGCTGATGAGTTTAAATGTCCCTTAGGTATCTTTCTACCCTCTTGTTTATATCTGACCGTATTGTACACATAAGCAGGGCACAAGCTACCTCCAACAGGTGGCGCTTATGACTTCAACTTGGTAAGGCAAATTCATGAAGTCCACAAAACTAATAGTTCAGCGACACATACTCAACAAAAATCAGCGATGATTACAAATGATGCGTGTTTGTGGGAAAAAATAGGGGGGGGGGGGGGGGGGGTGTTAGTTGTTTTCCTCTTTAGTTCATTTACATAATTATTAAGCATGAAATTTATTAATAAATTAATTCCTTTAACAATAATGAATTCTCGTCGGTGGCATACCATTAGACAAATGAAATTATAAAGCCCAGTGATAATTCGTGTTTGATAAGAATACACTGTGTATGCGATATTGTTATTTTACCTAAAAAGACTTTTTTTGCAATAGATGGGCAAAACAGAAAAAAAGTCGCGTTTTGTTTATGACGCAGTTGCAGCGATGAAGAAAGAGACACATTTTGTAATTTTCTATAGATAAATGATATTAAATGTTATTTTCATACACTTCTTAATTTAAGTAATGCTTCTTAATATTAAAAAATATATTTATTGATGAAATTTTTCATGCTGTCATAAGTATTTTGTTTAATGTACGCTCTACATGGATATCGTGTGCCTTTTTTTATATTCACTGCATCCAGTAAAATATTTATTGTACTTTTGGTGCAAATTAAAAACGGTTGGTTGCACAAATAATATCAATAGGCGCAAAATGCAAAGCCATGTTTGTTGATGACTTTGACGATTAAAAGAGGTCAACATTTTTAGAACGACAATATGGATATAAATGTGGTCATCTTTTTGGTTGTATAGCTCTTCAACTGTTTCGGTTCTTATACACCCTATGCTTTCAAATATTCGGATTTGAGCGTTCCTAATGAAGGTAAATCCAGAAAAACGGTTCGGAAGCATGCAATTAATAACGTGTTGTTATCATTGTTTTAAAACATATATTGTAAAGGTCAAGTCTTTTGTCTGCAAAAATTTCACAAACACTGACTGGTAAAATCCATGCACTACCAAACAGTCGTAACTATGGTTGAATATGCTTATGCAATATGAGAGAAGTCTATTACGATACTATTGTGTAAAGTGAACAACTTGTCCCAGGTTAGGGAAGGATAAAGCGCCTGCAAACATGCTTAACCGCTCCACATTCTGTATGTGCCTGTGTCAAGTCAGACGCATGTAACGTAGTGGTTGTCTTTTGTTACTGTATATCATATTTGTTTTTCGTTCATTGTTTTGTATATAAATCAGACCGTTTGTTTTTCTCGTTTGATTTGTTTTACATTGGTCATTTCGGAGACTTTTATAGCTGACTTATGGTATGGGTTTTGCTCATTGTTAAATGCCGTATTGTGACCTATGGTTCCTTACTTCAATGTCATGTGGTCTCTGGTGGAGAGTTTTCTTGTTGTAAATCATACCACATCTTCTTATTTTATACGTATTAACCAAAAAGGCTCCGAGATTGTAATTTGAATCAAATAACCAACAATCCTGCTTACTTGTTAGTTGTGTGTGTAAAAGAACTTTTTTTTACCAATTTTTTAAAAATATATTCTATATAATATTCTTCAATAGTCCATTTACACTGATTTTCATCAGTTTACGAGTTTGGCTATGTGAGTGAAACCGAATACAAATTTCCAATATTGATGATAACCTATTCAATGAGTAGGAAAACGTTTTCGTGTTTTACCCTATGACATTATTAGAGACATCGTTAATACTAGTGATAAAAGACATCGCTAAATAAATTTAAAATATTGATAATGATATCACTCCTTACAGATGATATTATTTTCATTGTTGTGATGATGTTTTAATTAAATAGTCTTTTAACAATTTACGAGCTATTAAAAAAAGTTGTGTTTCTTTATTTTGAAGTCATTAAAGAAGCAGTTTGTTTTGCTTAAAGATGTATTCAATTTTGGTAATACAATTAACCCATGAATTTTTAAAGCACTGGTGGGTTTACTTCCTTTATGGATTATCGATATAGTTTTACATTGAATTGTAATTTTCCCCGGGTTATACTAAGTGCAAAACAGGCAACTATAATACTGACGTCGGACGGGCGGGCATATGTGAAGTAATATGTTTTGTATAATCAACTGCAAAAAAGAAGCGAAAGATATCAAAGAGACATTCAAACTCATAATTCGAAAATAAACTGATAACGTCACGGCAAATGAAGAAAAACAGTAACAAACAGAAAAACACCAGTACACAAAACACAACATAAAAAACTAAAGACTGAGCAACACGAACCCCACTTAAAACTGGGGGTGATCTCAGGTGCTCCAAACGGGTAAGCAGATCATGCTCTATATGTGACACCCGTCGTGTTAGTCGTATAGAATACAGACATTTTAAAAATTTCACAGGAGGATAAATTAATAGCCCTTGTCGAATTTAACCACGATCTTTATGTCTTTAAAAATTTACAGAAAGATAACAAACACATTGAAATTGCGTACCTGCTATAAATAAACTGTTGAGTATATGTGCTTACCCCGTTATTCCACCTGACTTGTTGTGGTTCAGTGGATGTCGTTTGTTCGTGTCTGTCATATTTCGTAAATTGTTTTGTTATAATTAGGCCGTTAGTTTTCTCAATTGAAACCTTTCTTATTGTTGAAGGCCGTACGGTTGCCAATAATTGCTTACATCCACATCATTTGAGCTTTGAAGGATAGTTGTCTCATTGGCAATCATACAACATCTCCTTA